CGGGACAGCGCCGCACGGCACCGGCTGTGTGCGGACACCCCTACCGACACCGCATTCGGGCCCCGTCTCGCAGTCCCTGCCCCGCAGCAGCGACTGACGCAGGTCGCATTGTGATGGCCGTTATTTAAAAATCAGCCAGTTACCACTTCCTGTGCGAAAAACAAACATAACTAATTACTTCCAATTGCTAAAGAAAGTGCCTAACTCATTGCCCTTATTTAACAGCATCTTTATCGATAAAGTAAGTAGCCGGAAAACTATGTAACAAAACAATAAGTACACCACTGTGGGCTTGTCTTTTTATATTTTTAATTTATTTTTTTCCAGCTCACTGGCTGTCACTGCAACCAAAATGTAAATCAAGTCTTAAATGGAGTCTTCTGTTAAATCTGAGCTGGTTTTGGCTGGCAAACACACAGCAGACTTTAGAATTCATCCTTTTTCCACAACAGAGAAATAAGTGCTCATAGCAGTAGATGTACCTCCTTCACTCTAATTCCAGAGCTGATAATATACAGTATTACCCTGTACTACACAGTACCCCTAAAACACAGCAGTCCTCCACATTTCCAAGACATGCAAGTTATCTATACCTTTTTTTGCAAAAGCATAGTTAGTCCATGTGATTTGCCTACTCACCTACTTCTAGTTCAGCTTCTATTCTAGCTTACAACCTACACAGCTTCCCTTACGTGTTCGGACACTTGCTCTGTAACAGAGCAGCCTCTGTTATGACAGCAGCAACCCTTTCCCCACCACTTCACAGGCCTCTCAGCTACTGCAAAATAACCCATCAATGAATATCAGAGAAAGCAGTCAAAAATCCACACCTAAAAAGAAACTGCAATTTTTCAGGATGTCCCATTTACACATAGAATATTCAGTATCCTGGTAAGCAAAATGAAATAAACTGAACAGTGGCAACTTGGAAAAGCATACATAAAGTGAGATACAGTTGATGTGGAAATCCCGAGCTGGCAGTCAGGGTCTTTCTTCAGTCATTGTGACCAAAAAAAAAAAAAAAATTTAAAAAATCACAAGAACAGTGAAGGCAGGAATTATACCATCAATTTATGCTTGCTGTCACAGTACTTACTGTGGGACAAACTTACAATGCATAAACAAGCACAACCACTTACAATCCATTACAGCAGAAACTACCTAATTTCTCTTAGTCTAACAATGTGGCCTCACCAGTCCTTGGCATTGAGGATTCTGGATTTATATGTAAAGTTACCACCTGCATTATGGATGATGGGCATTTGTGAAACTCTCCTCTCCATTTCAGCTGTTACATGTACCTTCCTTACGAGCCACTTGCATCAGCCACACGTACAGTCTTAGTGGGGATTAGGCTTTAGAGCTGGGCCTGCCCAGTTCTTCATGGAAATCTTTCTTCTATGCATTTCCAATACATATTGAAGTATCTGAAGGCATCTTCATATAAAGTTGATTTTCATCCCAGACAATGCTGCGGGAAGCAGGAATTGTATCTCAGACGTAAAAGCATCTCTCCCTGACTAGGGCGAGATACTCAGCACAGCAGACTACTCGTTTCCTACACCCAGGGAGCAGCAGTAGCCATGTCAGGGGCAGCCAGTGTTGAACCTTCTGCTCAGTATTTATTGATGCCAAAGATTCGAACCCCATGCAACTGTGGGAGCTTGGGGATAAGCACTGTCAGGAGAGAGGCTGTGTTGAGGATAAAGTGTGTCGGATCATACTTTGTATAGAAACTCGTCAGGAAGTACCTGCAGGAGAAAAGGGAGCAAGCTTAGCTGATGGCAGTCTTGTTTAAAACACATACAAAGCATAGTTGAAAGAAGTATTTTTGTGATTAGTAAGATTTTATTGGTGAACATCTCTATATGCATTAAATATCTCACCTGAGGTTCAAGAGTATCTACAGCAAAATTATGGTCTAAGTCTCTTCTTCCCATACCGCTCAAGGTGCTAAAAATAAACTCTTAGTCTACTATTTTCTTCCAGCACTTCTCTCCACCTTGAGGAGTTACCTTATTTTCTCAGTTTCTGTCCTTTATGAGCCAACTCTCTAAACATCATACAGGATCTTCCCTCCCCTCCCACTGTGCCATGTAAGTGGACATGTAAATTTTCTTCAGGGGCAAACAGAAAGACTTTTAGAGTCAGATATGAAATATGTATCTGATTTTTCTTAGTTACACAATCACACTTTTGTCAACAGAGACAGGTGTCTAGAATTCCTAAGCCATTTTCATAGTGTAAGTAGAAGACAATATGTACAAAGCAAAACTGACACCAGATCCCATTCACCGAGGACTGACACACTTCTAGCTCACAAGTTGCAAAATGGTTAATAAATGCATTTAGTTTAGATTTTCAATATTTATGACTTCACAATCTCTTAAAGAACTTCAAGAGTTAACAGTAAGTTTTCCTCACAAAATTTCTCATCTTTAAAACTTGCCCCATTAATAACCGTTTACAAATTTTGACTTCAGTATGTGGTGTCAAAAGTAGAAGAAAGATCATTGATTACATAGCCTGGAAATAAATACTCCCTACAGCTGTGATGTAGAAATAAACAAACAAGAAAAGACAGAAAATGCTTTTAGACTGTAAACTGGAATCCATTATGTTGCAGCTTTTGCAATAATGGCTTTATGTGTCACTTGATCTATAACACAGTTTTGAACTCACAGAATTATAGGAGAGATTGTGAAGAACTTCCTTGAAGATGTGAATTGTACTCCATAATCCAGTTGTTCCCAGTGTGTTAGTAGCCTAGCTTTGCCCTGATCAGGTGTTTCAAAAGGAGTTCCCTTTACTGCATGCAAAAACACATACATTCCCTGGGGAAAATAAAAAGTGAATACAGAGGCGCTTTTAGTAGCATTTTTAAATACTTGTTACATTGTTCAGTGCATTATAAAATTTTCAAAAATAAACAAGAGAGTGGGTGAATTCTCACCCAGAAGAGCTGCTAGCCTGTAATGACAAATTATTGAAGAGGAAGGAAGAGACAAGAAGTGATTTGCCTGAGACTGTGCAGTCATAGGCAGGGTCAGAATTAAAGCCCAGATCTGTGTGACATCCAATCCCCTTCCTTGCCTTCTACACTAATAGGCAAAAGTTCCATGAATTCAACAGAATTTTAACAAGCCCTGTAACAAGTGTGGGGCTGCTGATTTGTATCACCACTTTCCTAGCACCGTGTTAACAGAGTGATGAGTAGAGTGTGCACAAAGCAAAAATCTACCTACAAACACTGACAATATCACACAAACTCCTGAAAGCTTTCTCAGCCCCTTACCAGCTTCAAATCCTTAGAAATTGACTAAGCATTGTGCTGAATACCATCTGTCCACCTCTTTGCTGCTTCTCCTTAAACTTACTGGACTTTCCTTGTGACTGTTCCTGTTTGATGGGAACATGGCATGTCCGTTTTGTTCTGAAAGACCAATTTGGGCTTCTCGATTTCAAACAGGGTAGTACACCCTCTTCCAGTTTTAAAAAACACTTATTTTCTATCAAAAAGAGCACATCAACTGCAAGGAAGAGTCTCTATGAGACAATATCAAAGATTTCCTTCTCTTATGCACATATAAAAACTTTAATAGAAAGCTTTATATAGAAAAAAATCACATTTCTTCCAGATTTTTATAATGAAGGTGAATTCTCAGCAAATCACTTCAAGTCTCCTTCTACCTTTTGTTGGAACAACCTCCAGACCAGAGCCCTGTGAATCTAGCACAATTGATTAGTTTAATTAATTTTTTGATTGATGATGTTTGTAGTGTCTCAGTTTTAATAACAAAAAAATACACTTTTATGATAGATCCAAATGCTTACTCTACATTTTATTTCCCAATGGTATAAAGAACCACCAAAAATGCTTTCAAGGTTATCTAAGAGTTTTCCGTTAGTGGAAATCCAAGATTTTTTTTTTTGTCAAGCCATTTGAGGATTTGTTTCCAAAAGAAGTGCCATTTAAATTCTGAAATATCCAACAGTGCAGTTTATACTCATCTTCTAGTGTTCCACTACAAAACTACTTGCCAGTGCATGCTCTCATCCCTGTTGTCATTACAGCTACTTGCAATGAGTTCAGTAAGGCATGTGGGAAATATTTAGTAATACTTGTCTCTGCCAACATCTTCAGAAGTCAGACATGTCTGATGCTGTCAAAGATAACACACAAAATGCTCTAATGACAGTTACAATTCCACCAGTAGTTTTAAACCCAGCTACAAAACCAAAAAGCTCAAATAAAAATTAAAACTTTATATTCAAGAGGATATCACCCATCCTCAGTGAACTATCATTTTCCTAAATAAGGAAGGAGCTATCTTTTTGTCAAGTCTTCTTTGCTGGTAATGTTAGAAAGCCGAGCTAGCAAACCTCCAGTATGATGTAAATTGCTGGGTTACAGCCCTCTTTTCTCTAAGCATGACAAGACCAATATAGATAGCAGCACTACTTAAAGTAATTACAAGAAAATGATAGCATTCTGGGGAAAGGAGCAGAAAGCAGCTCACAAAATCTTCTGCATACAAAAGTCATCATGCAAATCACAAGCCTCTGAATAACAAATAGTTTCAGGGCTGGGGTCAGAGTAGCTCAGTTTTTCCCACTCAGAACTAGAAGAAAGAATACAAATATTTCTCTTACAGAAAACAGGCAAGGTGCTAAAATTAAACATTTTGGGATACTAACAGATTTATGTGGAAAAATTAATAGATAGTGTCCAAGAATTAAAAATATGATAGCTTATGGATTCAGCACAGCTCTCCAATAATACACAGAACACTGTGAAAGCTCACTGGCATGATGATTTTATGTCTGCAACCTTCCAGCCTAATTAAATGCCATTTGAAAGAATACATAACACATACATAAAGAATACATACATAAAGAGTATTTCATGTCTTTCATGTTTAAACTGAAAGCGGTTGTGTACCACTCCTCCTCCCCAAAATGGTCAATCATTTGCAGATAGGCCAAGGAGAGGTGGTGTTTTGGATAGCAGGATTTCATTGTCCACACAAACTGCCTACTTTCCTCTTTCCTTACTACTGAAAATACATATGAACAACAACTATTCAAATTCTGTTCCAAGAGAGGGTACTCACCAGGTTGTGAATGACATTTGTTAAAGTCCAGGCGACAGGGACACTAAAGAAGGGAATGCTGAGCAGGACAATGTGCAGCATGCCGACTCCAAGCGCGTATGTCAGCCACATTCCACGGCTGTTCATCACCCGAGTGTTTGGATTTACCTCGCTGTGGGCAACTCCCACGTTCATTTTTACCCTATAAAACAGATCTGTTTGAAGACTGAGACTACTGTTACAGAAGAGTATTTAACATATGCAATTTTCAAATGTGGGAAAAAGCTGCTTTAAAGAAGCAGGTCTGGAGAGAACACAGCGCATAAACCACGATGTACCTCAAGAACCAAAGTACCATAAATCAGGATAACTCTCTACGGATTATAGAGAAATCAGTTCAAAGGGATAGTTGTGAACCGTTTGCTTAAAACAAGTCCAAACAAATAAAACTCACAAGCCTGCTACAGAAGGGATGTTAAAATCGTGTGATGTCAAGCTAAAGCTGCAAAGCTGTAAGAAACCAAGCTAGTAACTTTTACACTCTGAATTAAGTTTCTCCACCCAAGAGAATATCCAGAGCTCTTTTCCACTTCCCACAACAGACAGTCTTCCCCCTCTTTCTTGTGCATGTAATGGCTAGTGAAGAATTCTGCGTGTACTAACTGGCCAGCCACCTACTTCTAGAAAGAGCAATGAAAGAGTATTCTACGCCTCTTTTTCTTGAAGCAAAGTTCAGATTTCCTCCCCTTGCCATCTGTTAATTTCCAGACAGACATTTCCATCTTTCAAATCAAGCTGAAATTAGATAACAGGTTCAAAAGTTTTCTAAGCAACAGACACATGCAGAGATATATAGGGTAATTTCAAATGCTGATATAGCCAGGAAACTGACAGAACTTACCTACAGTGCCACTCCAGTCCTATTGCAGTAAAATTTGTAATGATAATTTAAAAAAAAAAATCCTGAAGTATTCCTTACTTCAAACTCACGTGATCTCTGGGACTATGGATATTCATTTATGGGAGCGGGATTACTTTTTTTTTTTAGCAATCATCTGAATCAGAATACAAAAGCACTGTTTAACCGGCAAAAGCAAGCTTGCTTTTGGTAGGAAGTTTGTTTCTGACAATTAGTGAGGTATAGAGTGTAAAATAAATATAAAATACCGGAGTATTTTGCAATATGAACAACAGTAGACTAAAATTAGATACGCTGAACCTGAACCCGAAGCGGGGCACTGCCGATCTTAAGCAGTACCTGTCGCAAAGCATTCCAAGCCGTGCACTTGCAGGGGACACATTACCTGGGATGGGCGACGCGAGGCTGTTCCTCTCTCCCTTGGGATGCAGCCGAGCCAGTACCTAGACAGACATCTTAACGTCACCCACCATCCCCTCCCATTCCACCCCACGATTCCAGCCCGATCCGAGCTCGCTGCACCGCCGCGTTTCCTCTGCCATCCCTCCCTTGCCGGCCCCGCTCCGCTGCCGCCGCCCCGGCCCGGCGCTGCCCCAGGCCGTGCTGCCCGTGGCCTTCTCTCCA